ACAAATTTTAAATTCATTTTCAAGAACGTTTCTACTAAAACGTTGGCTAAACATGTTTGCTGAAACGTCGACTAAAAAAGAACTTGGTCAATGTTGATTAACACGAGGAGAAAAGAAGCAAGTGAAAAAGACGTTAGAAGAAAGTCTGCTGTTTCGTCTTTTTCTCGTTTCGCATGCAAGGCCGAGATCGTAGTCGAGCCGATTCGATAACCGAACTCGGGAACCGTGGCAAGCGTCATTTTGCAATCACCTTCGTCGACCTTGTCTGGCTTTCTTGAAATGACAATCAGAGCGTAGATACAGATGCCAAACTCGTGAAATCAAAATCATTGCTCCACACTTGTCTCTTCCTTTTCTCGTCGAAGCAATTTTCGATCAAACCGTTTCGAAATATCTAAAGTATCTTTGCGTATCTTTAATTCTCGTCCAGTTTCAAAAATATACAACAATTCGTTCGATTATCGCGCCTTCACTGTATATTGGCAATTCGCGTCCTGCGTTCTACTTCGATGGATTCGAAGCCAATTCGAGCTTTTTCGAACATTCGCGTACAAATTTTTGCCGTCGTTCACCTCGAACAATAATAACTGCGTTTGCGTGGTGACTGAAATTTGCATTGCTCGTACAACGAGGAAAAAATATGCTGGGATATTTAAATACTTAATAATCTTTTCCGCGAATTGTTGTTAAAGCGTAATTCTTTCAGTCCGCCTTGGTTGGAAAATTTGTTAAACAATTCGGGAATATCATTCATCGAGGACGATGGACTGTTGCGTCGAATTTGCAATACATTGCATACAAATGCGATACAGGAATTTGCGAATAGATAAATTCTTACGCGTACGTACTTACTTTTCAATTATTACGTACGAGTAAATACTTTAACGGGGCGTTAACCGATCGAGCTATAAATGTATTGGTCTTTGATAAATCTTCAATTTCATCGGATTGTATCTTCTTTACAAAAACGTAAAAAACGTATGTTCCTACCGTAAACGATTGATAGAAAAATTGCTTCTCACAGGTCGATGAGTGTTCGATTTCAAGGAGATTAAACGAACAACAACATCGAGGAATCCGTTTTGAGTAACGTCGACGAATCTGACAGACGGCAGAGAATGGCCGAAATAATAATTCCAATAATCGGAAAGGCACGAGTTTCATTGACTTCCACGATTAACTTTCTGCTCTAATTGATTCACATTTTCTACTGCGTAAATCGATGAAATGCGTTAGTTCCGTTACGAAACGCTAGGCCAGCGCGGACGTCTTTTTCCCTTCTCTCTTTTTCTTTATCGCGATATTGCGTTCAATTTAGGAAACAGTTGTGAAAATTTGTTGGATTAAATAACGAAATGGAGTCTCATGAAATTAGGATTTCTAAAATCCTACGTATTTTTATTCGACAAAGATCTTTTAATCTGTAATCTGACTAGACACTGTAAAAGACTATTTTAAACGCTGCAATAAATCGCAGAGAGAGAGAGAGAGAGATCCTTGATTTTGTAATAAATTTCGTTCTTCCAACTCAAATTTTTTCCTACTATTAAACATTGGATGTTTCTTCTCTCTTTATTTTTTTTTTTTTTTATTTAATTTTTGCCTTTCGACTTTGAATGGTATGGCAACTTTACACAAATAGCCAGTTTGCACAATACCGTATCGAATATTAAATATTAAATATTAAATACAATCGTGACAAAATTCTTGCACATAAGAAACGTTCGATTTTGTCGCTTTCGACACTTTGGTTTCTTTCTGTCCAACTTTCGTACTTTTCGAGATTCTGCCGTAATGTCTTTGTTAAACATATTTTATTCGATAAGGCGCGAACCCATTTCGAATCGAATCGTTCGCAGACGACTGTTCTCCCACGATATTTAATTCTAATCGACGCTAACGTTTTATTTTTAACCTCGTGTTTCTTTACACAGCCAAAGACCACCGATCACTTTCATCGAACGAAATGCTTTCTAGGAAATGAAGCGATCGAGAGAATCTCATTAGCCGAAGATAAGGTAGTGCAAATGTTGCTTTAATAAAATTTTGATAAAGTAACCGGAATCTGAACTTTATCGAGTTGCTTCGTGTTTGCTGGAGGAACAATTTACTTGATAACACCATTTGGAATATTAAAACGATATTAAATTTTTATACACCTGATCGCGAAAGTATTGCATATGGAGAGCTTTAATACTTACGTGCTTATATTGTGTGTGTGTGTGTGTGTGTGTGTATTACATTGAAGTTGCATTAGCGTTGCAGCGAGACACGACTGTCACAATTGCGTCAAATTCGAAATTAATCTTGAAATGTACACAGCAGTGAGAATAATGTAATTTATTTAACTGAGAATTCAACGTATGAGAACTTTATTCTATATCCTTTCCTTTTTACAAACTTTCAGACAAGCATAGTTATCTAATATCATTTTATTTCACATAATATGTAATATAATATATACAATCTGTTTCAGCTTAGTTTGGACAATATTTATCGAGCACACGATCATTTATTTTCCTACAATGATGTACATTAGCCAAAAGATATTTTCTACTAATCCTGCGATCGCACGCGCGAATAATCGTGGAAGTCTAAGAAATCTACATTTTTTCCAATTATGGGAATTATTATCTTTATTATCTTGTACTCTGCGGCATTTTCAAGTCTCGTGTAACGTTTCCTAACGTTATTTATTTCGTAGATCGTGATTGATATTCCAAAGAAAATTCTCGTTTTCAAATTAGAGGAACAAGGGAGAAACGGAGGAATATCAGACTAATCGGGTGAGAAACGGGAACTCGCTTTTATTTGCAAATTTTCTTTAGGAAATATACCGCTAAAAACAATTCACGAACCTTGAATTATTATTATTTCTATCATTTTCTGCTGCCTTTGTAACTCGTCTGGGACCCTGTACTGCGACCAGAGATCGTAATTTAGATAATGTCGTTGAAACTGGATTCATGGGCTTATATCTGGCGGATTTCGCCCGTCTAAATCAGATTTTTACGAAATATTTATATCGTTACAACTGAGCGTGCCGCATATATCTTTTTTTTTCTCAAATTACGTACATTTTTTATTCTTTCGATCTTGGTACAAGAGTACTCGTAGAAAAGACTGTAAGTGCCAAGAAGCAAGTTCTTCGGGAGAAAAAGAAAACTTACGCGTCGATGTAGTTTAAATTCGTGAAAAAGAAAAGTGCACGTGTCGTCTCTTTCTCTTCGGTAAAGAAACTCAGTGGTTGTTCGTTCATTTACACAGACGACATAGGCAAAAGCCGAGAAACGATTAACTAATGTTTGTTGGCGTTTATATCCTTTTTCTATAGAGGCGACTTTGTGACACCTAAACCCATGTATTTTCTAGCGTTGTTGATAACTATTTAGAAAAGGAAATTGCATTTGAATTCTATACTACGGTATTCTCATTGGTATGTGCAACATTTTCCAATAGGAAGTCGAAATTTTCCAATTTTAACACGTACAGTGTTTTCTACGAGAACCGTGTTTGGTTAACGATAATCAAATTTAGCCCGACTTTTATTAGATTCTGAAACACGTAATTCTCACTCAGCTTATAGCAAGTTAGATCCAAGAAAAATGTATTTTTTAGTTATTACGTTCGAGATCCGCAGGATTATCACAATAACGGCCATATCTTTCATCGACGCAAAAGTGTCTACGTGATTGTTATTTCTGATCTAAAATTAAATAGGCGGAAAGCTATGCTTATTTATCGATATCGAGATAGTCGATCGATTATTCGAAAGTACGAGGAATGAAAGTTCAGACGATCGAAAGTCCGATTGGAGGCATTCAAATAGAAAGTCCAGTTAACAGTATTTCGATAACCGAGCCCCGATGAAAGTAGCTGTCCGTTTTCTGAAATCGATGGAAAACAATTAAAAAGACGTTATTACACCATCGAAATTCCACTCGTACAATACGGTATTTCTTTGACGAATGTTTGTAAGCATCGATCGAAAATTTGGGATAAATTCTTCGTTGCTTGTTTTATTTTTTGAGAAAATGGAGATATTAAGAATTTGATAAAAACTACAGAATCGTTAAAAATCGTCGCTGTAAACACGTTACATCAGAAAGTCCAAGTTTTGATAATGTCAACTCGAGAGGAATAACACAATGTTACGTAATATTGTTTGATATTATAATAATTTATTCTTTTCTTTTAGGATACTACAAGCTGGCTATTACGCTCTTATTCTTACGTTTCTTACGCTATATTGTTTCGCTATTTTATAGTGCTCTGTTATAGTACTTGATTCTTTCTTAATAATCAGGGTGTGTATCTATATGCGAATGTATAGCGTGGCGATAAATGTTGTATAATATGTTACTTCATAATATAATAAAATATTGTCACCTGTATAAAATATTACTTCATTTATATGTAATTATAAATCAATTTTTCAGTGCAATTTATATCACTATAGTGATAACTGATACTCGCTTCTGTATACATATATTCGTATATATTCTTTATTTATTTAATTCTGGAAAATATTCGACAAAGTTGCGAATGTAATTCAGAAAAGTTAAGACGTGTAATTGCACGAAATTGCAAAGTGGAATTCAACAAAACTGCAAAATACGATTCCACGATCATTACGATACTTAAAATTCTACAAAATTGCCAATACGCAGCACGTGTATACTCTAAACGCGAAACATTCGAACAACATATCAAATTATTCAAATAGAAATACAAATTTTCGAATGTTGTTCACCTCGTAACTTCGCGTAATTCACAATACGATCTACGATACCGTTAAATTCGAACGACCCCACTTTCCATTCTCGACCTACGTGTCGCTTCTACCATTTCCTCTTTCGCGTATCCTAACGTTCCTATCCTTGGTCGTTCCTTAACGTTACATTAAGAAGCGATAAAAAGAAAGAGAGATAATAAAGATAATTTTTATTACAAGTTTTGTTAAAAACTTTTTTTTAACAACTAACTTTTCTTTGTTACAGTAAACCTGGCAGACAGCGGAGACCAGAGGGTAGACATGACGCATTTTGATCTGCTGAAGGTCCTTGGAACCGGAGGTACGTGAACGAAATCCTTTATGGTAGCGATTAAAGTCCACGGTAGGACGTACAACCGGTCCCTTTCCCCCGTAGCTTTTCGCGCTCCTACCATTTTAGCGTTCGCAACCGGTTGATTTTTAATTGCGATCGTCTCGCGTCTTGACGACGCGACTATTTTCCCTTCGGAGCGCAATAAACATACCCATCGAACGTTTATTATCCGCCGATTCACGCGAAATAGAACGAGTTTTAAGCATCGTTTCGATCGATTCCGCGTGAATTTTCTTTTCTTTCGCTTTCTTCTTCGGCGTATGGGGTTTGTATAATTTGCCTGGTTCAGGGATGGAAGATACACGAGGCGTGCAAAAATCGATAAGACGTTGGTGAAATGTGAAAATTACGGCAATTTCGTTACGAAGAATAAACGCGGGATTGTACAGGATGTTTCGATAAATGTTTATATTATTACCCGATAGAGGAATACACGATAAGAGATGCCAGTGTCTTGTTTCCGATGTAATTCAAAGTTTTTAAAAATTCTTCGCGCGAGTCGAACCGACGCGTAGTGTACCGTATTCGTTGTAAAAGCATGCGAATTGAATTACGATGGAGAAAAATCGTTTTCTTTGCTTTTTTCTTTCCGCGTCTGTATTCGGATTAGCAAATGCGCATAGTACGGAGTTTAAATAATTTAATAAAAATCGATGATTTAAACAATTTAACCATTCCATTTTCCATTTCGAATTAAAAAACCCTCGTTATTGAAACATCTTGTACGGCCCCCATCAAAGTTTCGTCATTTATGACCACGTTAAAGATCTTTTCTATTTAATTGCTGATGTTAGAAACCATCTGTACGATTTTAACGAAACTTCGCTATTTTTACTAGTTTATGGTTTCACTTGGTTATCGCGAGCCTGTGTTTAGAATTTTATAAAATTCAAATAATAAAATAAATTTCTATAATTTTCCACGTTCCATAAATTTTTGAATATCGTTTCTATTCCTTCTAGCTTTCAGTCGAAAAACGTCCAAAAATATTGGTCAAAGCTTCGCCGTTTCCCAACTTTCCGCTATTCACAAACTCGCATGTCCGAAATATGTATCAGTGCAAACCACTCGATAAACCAATCTCACTCGTCAATCTAAAAAATCTAAAAGTTCAAATTCAATTTCTTTGTTTCTCTCACACCAACAGCTTATCGACACGCCGTGTATCCGAATCAAAGATACACCGAGTCCACCGAAATTTTCTGACAATACGCCAAAGTTAAAAAGAAGAAAGAGAAAAAGCGACGATATCGAAGCAGATCTGAGCGCGAAATTTTCGTTCGATTAATAATCCAGACGAGATTCGTAATTGTTCTATCGACAAACGTGTTTCTCGCTTAAAGAACGTTTGACAGTTGACGAGAAATAAAAACAAGTTCGAATACGAATAATACGAATAATCGTGACATAACTAACGAATTGGGTCATGATAGAAAGAGTGAAAACGAAAACCTTTTGCACAGCTTATGGAAAAGTGTTCCTGGTGCGTAAGAGAACGGGCGCCGATGCCGGTCGACTCTACGCCATGAAAGTCCTGCAGAAAGCGTCGATCGTGCAAAAGAAGAAGACGACCGAGCATACGAAGACGGAGCGACAAGTTCTGGAGGCCGTTCGTGACAGTCCTTTTCTGGTTACGCTGCATTACGCCTTTCAGACGGACGCAAAGCTCCATCTTATTTTGGGTAAGTACATTATTTTTTTGGAAAATTATTCAAGAAATATTCGCCAGAGATATAGTTACAACGGGGATATAGTTAGGAATAGGGACAGTTCGAGTACGCTAGATTCTCAATTCAACTGAGTTTTGCGGTTGCTACTTGGAATAATCGTTTGATAGCTATTCTAATCTTTGTAAAGGGACTATTTTCGTGTAAAGTAAAGCACGTGCCTGCGATATATCGCTCTATAGGAAATTATCTATTACTCTCGAGATAACAATAAAAAAAACTTACTTATTTAGCGACCGTGGCGCAGAAAGCTCTATACGATATTTCGTTTTGATAAATTTTTCCAGTCTCGACAAAAATATATAGCCACTCGGTAATGAGCGTAGTTATACAGCGATAATTACAATTAACGCGTAAAAGGAAGTTCACTATACGCCAAGTAAACAATTTTAAGTACAACTTGTTAACAGCAGCAAATATTGGAAAATTGGAAAGAGAAGAACGCGTTTTAGCGTACATAACTTAAGTCAATTTAAAGTGTGATGTGAAGTTTTGATGTGAAAAAACGAGTAATTAGCGATGTTAAAGTACATGAGAAAATATTTGCTTCCAAGAGGATATGAAATGGTCGGTTTATCGAAAAAACGAACAAACCTTTTCAGCTTCGGAACAAACATTTTCAGATCAGACATGAAAGATTTTTAAAGTTTCCACAACTATGCTTTACGTAAAATATTTGTATTCTTTATGTACGCGTTACAGTGGCGAGTATGTCATACCGAAAAAAAGTATCTAAGAAAGCGAAAGAACGGACAGCTGAGAAGGTTTTCAGATGCTATCCTGACATCATCGTTGAGTCGTCCGTGTAACATTGTGCAACCTTCCTCCCTCGTAGAAACGTGTAATCACTCGATGATTTCGACTTCTCCTCAATTATTTTTCTTTAGATGACATCACAATGTACGAATTATTTTTGTTTCGCAATATGTAGGTCGGCTACTGTAACACGTTTCCGCGAGTCAGTTGTCGTTTTATTCCAATTTACATGCATGGAAATTCATTAACGATAATATTTAAACGTTTATGTCGATTTTGAAATATGGACTGTTTCGCGGAGCCCCGATATTGAAAATAAATTATTCATATTGCAATTAATATTTAAAACGCAAACTTTTCCGAAATAATTGTACGTTTTGTACGAATCTCGTTCTCGGTATATTTTTTGTATACGTCTTTTTGTTCAGATTTCCAAATAATCGTAGAATATTGCAGATATTTCATTGGAAGTAACGGTAATTTCTAGTATAAAGACACGATGTAGAACTTTTTAGAACATCTACTTACGTCTTCAAACAAATTCTCAGTTTTACTTTAAAAACATTTGAAACGATTCTACGATGTAACAGGGACATTTGTAAATATTCCTCGGGTTTGCACATTTCTTAAAAATTTTAAACAGCTAAAAAGCGATATTTGAACACGCTAATTAGCATTAATTTTCTCGCGCAAAGTATTTCTTCGGTAATCCGTTTTGTTAAGGAGAGAGGAGGACAATCGACGAAAGAGAACTATCGCTAGTTATCAAAATATCCAAAAATAGTATCAGACATTTTCTATTCGTCAGGAGAACACGATTGAATTCCAAATCTCGCATGCGGCAGTTTCATCAATGAATATTTCATGCCTTACTGCGTTACAGCCCAATATCTCGTTGACGAGTGCTACGGAAGATAAATAGAGAAAATATCGTTATTCGTTTCGCTGGTTCTACAGGCAATTATCTTTTCCTACTTTTTCTATTCCTTTCAATCTCTTCGACGTTCGCGATATCTTTTAATCTCGAAGAATTCACCGATCGAGGAGAGGAGATCGAGGGAAATAAATATTTCACGAAGAGATTCGGTCGAGTCGAAGATCGTGTTCTCAGGCGTGTTGTCTAATTCGTTGAACGATAATAATTTCCAATTTTTACAGATTACGTGAGCGGTGGAGAGTTGTTTACACATCTCTATCAGCGAGAACATTTCACCGAGGACGAAGTGCGAATCTATATTGGTGAAGTTATTTTGGCGTTGGAACATCTACATAAGGTAAGTATCGTTCTTCTCCAGCACATTGGAAAACTTACGCTACTTAAAATAATCGATTTAAGAGAATTTGTCTATTTAAAGATCTTTTCTTTCGAAACTCGATGCATGGACGAGACTCGTTACGCTTGTCAGAAATCGAGCAGTTTAAATTCCGATATAAGAATCGAATAGAAGCATACGTGATTTTACTTGAAATTTCATTTCGGAGCAATTTTCGAATCGAAAGATTTAAATCTTAATTTAATAATTTAATTCGTTTAAACGAACGTTTCATTTTAAGCTTCGTCTTAAAGTCGATCGAAAGAAACGAGGCAATTAAATACGTTTCTCGTATCTCTTATAGCTTGACGATCGAACTAAAAGCGATCGAATTTTTAATCTATCCATATCTGAACTATTGATAGTTATATCGCTCTTCTAATTTCATTTATACTGAACTTATTTGCGTACGTGATATCTACTTCAACCGTGACCCGCGAGATTACACGAAAAGGAAAGCGAACGTAGTCTCGAATTTTGCACTCCCTTATTACTATTGCGAATATTTGCGCGTTACATGGTAAATTATTAAAATATTCCATTCTTATCGTACAACCTGATCGACGGAACGTACAATGTTGCCTTTTCTGTTGCAGCTGGGTATAATCTATAGGGACATTAAGCTAGAAAACATTCTGTTGGACAGAGAAGGTCATATCGTGTTAACAGATTTTGGGCTGAGCAAAGAGTTCCTGCCGCACGAAAGAGACAACAACGCCCGAGCTTACTCTTTTTGCGGGACTATCGAGTACATGGCACCGGAAGTGGTACGAGGGGGATCAGCGGGACACGATATTGTAAGTCAGGATGAATTTACGTCACGATTTGTTCCCTTCGTTCCTGGAACTTCGTTATCGCGCCCGTACTCCCCGCCTGTCAGATACATTTTTATCGATTCGTTATTCTTTCTTCTCTGGTTACTTGAAAAAAAGAAAGAAAAAAAAGAAAAAGAGAAATGTTAAATTCGATGGAATCGGATTGTCGGAGAATGAGAAAATCGTCACTCGGTAGTTCTTATTTCGTATAAAGTGTTACGAGAATGAAACATTTGTAAATCTTGCATTCTTCGCAGGCAAAGAATAAAGTAGAATTTATGTAATTTGTAAATACCGTGAGAAGAATCGTATAATTATAATAATCAGAAAATGCGAAGATCGCGTCGTATAAGCACACAGTGAGAAAGATAGTACAATTAGACTAATTAAAAAATATAAAGATAGTATAATGTATAGGCGAATAACGAATAGAAGAAATGAAAACTAGAAAATCTTGTATATTTAAAAATCCAACAATTGTCGGGAACGGGAAAACAAGATTCCATCAATGATAGATTGTACTTATTGGAGTAGGTTTCGTATTTAAAAGTTTACAAATTCGTTACTACGAATATCAGCTTCGAATTTATAGAACGTTTGAGAAAGTGATTTGATTTTGATCGATGTCGAGTTAGTTTTTATCGGATCGCTCGAATTACTGGAAAGCAGTGCTGTTTTCTTACTGTAGTAGCCCCTTCGGTTTTGAAATTCCAGGAACAATCTGTTCGAAATTTTCTATTCTAAATATCTATCGATGGTCAATTTGCAGGCGGTGGACTGGTGGAGCGTAGGCGTACTAACGTACGAGCTGCTAACCGGCGCGTCGCCTTTTACGGTCGATGGCGAAAAGAACACGCAGCAAGACATTTCGCGTCGGATATTAAAGACAGAACCACCGATACCGAGCCACATGGGTCCAACGGTTCGAGACTTTATCCTACGTCTTCTCGTGAAAGATCCGCGACAACGGCTCGGCGGAGGTCCAGGAGACGCCAAAGAGTTGAAAGAACATACTTTCTTCACGGAAGCCCCACCACCGTTTAGCTGGAAAGCTCTAGAAAGACGCGAAATCACTCCGCCTTTCGTTCCTACAATTACTCACGAGCTGGACACCAGCAATTTTTCGGATGAATTCACCAAAATGATCGCAACCGACAGTCCGGCCGTGGTTCCGCCCAATTATGACAAAATTTTTAGAGGTTACTCGTACGTGGCGCCATCCATACCGGTTGGAGACAATATAGTTGTTAGTAAAGACATAATCGAAGAAGCCACGACGGCTAGTACAGAGTCTGAAATACCTTCAGCGTCGGACGCGGTGTCAGTGAGTTTCGAGGAGTCCCCGTTCTTACAGGCCTACGAATTAGACCCTCTAGAGGTCTTAGGAGATGGTAGTTACTCGATCTGTCATAAGTGCAGACATAAGAAAACGTTGGAGGAGTACGCTGTGAAGATTGTCAATCGCAGAGTCGACTGTGGAGGAGAGGTCAATTTGCTGAGAACCTGTCAGGGACATCCAAATATAGTTAAACTGGTCGAAGTTCACGAGGACCAAATGCATATGTACTTGGTAATGGAATTGTTGTCTGGAGGAGAACTATTGAGGAGATCGAGGCCAGTTAGCGAGCAACAGGCTAGTAAAATAATGCGGCAACTTGCCTCCGCGGTCCTTTTTATGCACTCGAAAGGCGTGGTCCATCGAGATCTCAAACCAGAGAATATAGTATTTGCAGACGAGAGCGAAGACTCGCCAGTGAAGATAGTAGATTTCGGTTTCGCCAGGATAAAATGCGACTGTGAGCCTCTATATACTCCCTGTTTCACTCTTCCGTATGCAGCTCCAGAAGTGATAGCTGAACAAGGTTATGACCAGAGCTGTGATCTTTGGAGTCTGGGTGCTATACTGTATTCCCTACTGTCCGGAGACCCGCCATTTGGGACCGATTCCCCAGACTTGGCCACCCGAATCAGGGCAGGCGAGATCGATTTCGATAGCGAATCCTGGAGTCACGTGTCTGACCTCGCCAAACAGGTCGTCAAAGGCTTGTTGACCGTGGACCCCAGCAAACGCCTCACAGCTAGTGGCCTGGTAAATCATCCTTGGTTAAACGAATCTAGTTCGTTCCAAGTATCCACTTCGGTCGATAAAACCACTACGGACAATTCGAATACACTATCAGAGAAGCCGGAAGGATTCCGATTGCGGGAAGTAGATGGTGCCAGACTTGCCCAGCGCCGGAAATTGCACAAGCGTTCTACTTCTAGTTCTGTATCGTCGTCTGCCTCTTCGTCCAGTCAGTCTGTACAGCCCGTTCAACTACCCAGCACCGCAACTAACCTAACAACTTCCGTCTCACCAGCGCAACCAAGCGCCTTCGATTTTGGCAAAGACAAAGTAAATGAATATCTCAGCTCTTTGTCTTCTTCCTCCGATTCGAATTCGCCAAGGATCGTGCAACAGGAGTCATCTAAAAAACGTAAACAAGACGACGATGGGGTGACCAGGTCGAAAAAGCTTACGAGATACGCGCGATATTTATATGAGTATTACAACAGTACTGGCCCCGTGACTAGGTCCAAGAAAAGGAAACTAGAGGAGAAGACCGTAAACGAGGACGACTTATCTACGACAGAATCTTGCGAGACAAATCAGGTGGACTTTAGAGAGATCCGTCGGAAACAGCAGACAGGAAAACGACCCAAGGGGTTTACCACTGTCATCGGGGAATAGAAGTTCACGCCACCTTTTCTCCGTATCTCTCCTATGTACATTGTATGCATTTTACGTAATGTGATGTCGTTTTCTGCCTTCGAAGCTCGAATCGACTCGGGCAACACACATTGCGTCATTCCTATTTCCGGGACTTTAGCCGTGAACTATTTGAATCCTATACGAGTTCGTTATTTTGCGACATTTTGATTTTTATCATTTTAACATAAGGTATGTTAAAAAAGAATTTAGTTTTATTCTTTGATTCTTTAGCATTTTAGGTAATGTCAATTGACATATTAAGATTATGTAGAATGTATGAGATATAACGATAGAATTAAATCGTATAACCCAATAAGGACCAATGAAATAATGCAATGCAATTATATAAATGCAATATTATCGAAAAACGTATGAAAGTGATTCATACACTGTTTTCTTAAAATACAAAGTATGTATCAAAATAGTATTTTGTAAAAGTTCACTACATAAATCAAAGATGAAAAATTTCCAGGATTGAAAAAGAATAGTTTATCGTATCGTCATAAATAGTTAAATTTCTTTAAGATTCTTAAGAAAGAAGAAATAACGACGAAAAGAATATTCTTAGAATTTCCTTTCTGTAACATAATATAGAATTCAATAATAGGTTAACATGATAATGTTAATTAAGCGTTGTTGTAAGCAAGTAACATTTCAGTATAAGTAAGGTTTGAAGTAAACCTTACATATATTTAAGATACTTTGATGAACTCGTACAGGATTCTAAATCGAGTGTCCCAAGACGACACTGTTCCTTATCGCGATTTTTAAATTATTGTAGATACGTTTAATTTTATGCCATGCTTAGGGTTACGTATCATCGAACGACACTACGAGAGATAGTATTTTAAGTAGGAAATAACGAGAATACGTGTTCCTGATCTTTTGAAGCCACTCTGAATGTGGATGGAACTTAACCTAAAAAATAGTATTCGTCGTTCTTAGATTACAATATTATTATTTATCCTATTAGAGGAGCTTCAAAACCAAACGAATAGATAATTTCTATTCTTGTCAACTATTTTGTAATAGATTATACGCATTATCATCCTTTTTGTATTAGATTTTTCAACCGTTATCAATTTTCTATGGGCAAATATCTGATCAACTTATCGATACTGTGTATATGTATACAGAGTGTCCTATGGAAGCAAGACGCAACGTTCGAACGATAGAAGATAGAATAAAATTTCATTTAGAAAAATTGAATGATTTCGGGGCATCGTCCGCGGTGCATGTGTCTTCTTGCAGTGGGACGCTCTGTATAATAAGGTGTCGGAATTAATTCATAAACGTTCTCGTCGCGGGGAAATGTCGATTTGTACAGAAAACACCGAGTAAAAGAAAAACAAGATTCTCCGCTCAAAACGCGACGAAAAATGGAACGGTCCCTCGAGATCGATTCCCAGTAGATTTATTTCCTTTCTTCGCGTTGTCTGTGATCAACCATGTATAAAAATGGAAACAAAAGAACAAGAAAGTCGTCAAAGTGTTTGTCGACTTTTCTTAATCTTCGCTCTATCCCTGATCCTTCTTAGAGGAAATTAAAAGGTAAAAGAAGGGAGTAAGAAGAGGAAAACGGAGAAAGGCGTAAAGAGAAAGAGCAAAAACGACTTTGCGTAAAGACTTTATGTAAAAAGAAAAAAAAAATTCGATTCGTGAAAATTACGCATAGAAAATGTGCCTCAAACAGACGATTTATAAGGCGTGTATGAATATGGTGTACACGCGTTTCAATTTTTTTTTTTTTTTTTTTGGGAAGAAACAGAAGGATCTTCGTTTGTTTCAGATGAAAAAGGAGGTTAGGAGAGGTTAGGAATGATAGAGGCGCGTGTATTCTCTATTTATTGTATCGACGCAAAAGTAAACGTATTGTGTTGTACGCGTCGATTATTATTATTAATTATATACATAATATATATATATATGAAAAAAAGTATACACACAGACTCAAATCTAAACGGTTCTGTTTACACTAGCATATATTATATCGGATACATGCTATTCTTGTACATTAATTTTTAGCCTTGAATCTTTATAAGAAAAATATTATATACAAGAAGAAAAAAAAAATATATATATACTTATACACACGTGGTACACACACAAAATCATATACCCGTGTACATTCTACATAGAATGTTAAAAGATAGGGTTGATCGAAGTCATTGGGTATCGTAATGATTAATGGTACAATGCATCGATTACATTGCGATTTTTTCGTTTTGTACGAATGTGTTTTACGTATTATTACTTTCATTGATTAATTTTTCCTTTTCTTTTCGAATGATAAAATGATCGTGTGTATTGTGAAAGATATATTAACGAATAGATCATCGAATTATTTGTAATGAAATAGACGAGTTGGAGGGAATTGCACTTTGTTAGAAAACGTTGAAATTGAAGGTAGTTGAGATTTATTTTCGTAGTCTACGATACTGTTTCGTGTGATTCAACTTCTTGCTGCTTTAGAAATTCATTGTATAAAAAATTTATTTAGATTGTCTGAATGACACGTATTTTTTTTTTTTACACATAATTTACAGAAATAAATGTTTTGTTCTTTTAGTTGATTCGTCGTAGCAAGAGGTGAGAATAAGTATCATCGAGGCACGAAAGAAATTTCGTTCTTTCATGCGTGACGATAGTGTGTTAGTTTTCACGGGTTTTTATTACAAATTACAATTGGTTATGCGGTGACTCATGGATATGTTCGAGTCCAGAGCTTTTTAAATTTAATTCAATAAGAGTAAAACTCCAGACAGACGATTCTACGTTAAAAAATGAAATGTGTGATACAGTTATTACTTATGATTTTTCCCCCTTTTTTGAGAAATTTCAATTTGAAAGTTCGTGGGAACCCCATTTAGATCAGCTTAGATCTTTTTAAAAATAATATGTATATTTGTGTTTTGATGATGTTTTCAAAAGTTAGTCTAGAAGCTCATAAAGTCTCGTATAATAAGGGGATCCACTTACTTTGTTTATTCATTTTATGACGTGGAATCATTTGGTAATACTTTTTAACGTTGCTATTTATAGTTTTATCTTTTATACTTTAAAATTTATAACCCGATATCTTCCAAACCTGTTACATCCGCATCTTCCATACCAAAAATGACGTATAACTGTTTAAGTAACTTCCATCCATTAGTTTAATGTAGAGAGTAAACTTTAATTTGCGGTTAGTTTAATAAACATACGAACAGATCTGCGAGTCACGATGTATCGTCTTAGTGTGTAAGCTGAAAGAGGAAAGAAGGGTGTTGACTGCTGTGAAGAAAAAGTGCAACGTTAAAGAAATAAGAATAAAAAATAAAAATAAAAAACGAGATAAGTGAGAAAGAAAGGATAGTGAAGACTGAAAATGGTTGTGCACGGACTCAGGGAACAGAGAGACACAACCAAGGACATAAATCCTCCAAAAAGAAAAAAAAAAAAATCGATTATGAAAAGGATGAGAGCGTTCCACGTGGATGGAGAAACGCGTGCTTCTACCAAAGACGACCGAAGTAAAATCGCTCTGCAAAGACCAAATAAATCAAGGAAAAGTCATGAAAAAATCAACAAAAGATATAAAGAAGAATAGAAAAAGCTTAATCTTTTCGAAATATCGAGAGGCGTGTAAATTTTTGCTGAATCGTGTGTGATTTTCCGGGCGTAACAGTTAAACATATGAATAGAAGAAGATAATGAAGAAAAAGAGGGAAAGAAATAATTATTTAAATAAGAAATGCATAGATATATAAAGAATATTATATATATTATATATATTTAATATAAGATTATATTCTAGGAGATCATATTTCTTTAATAAGAGGATATTTCTATTTAGGGATCATACGAGTCATTATTGAGTCCTTAATAAGTTGCAATCAGTTGGATCGTGTCGAGGAGAAAAAATGATCTTTTCTAGATACAATATATCACTGTTATGTTATTAAAAATAATTATAACAGAAAGAGATGGAATGTGAGGAAGATAAAAAATAAAAAAGCAGAGAATTTGTAAAAATATGTATATTTGTACAGGGCGTCGAAAGAGTCTAGTGCGCATTATTTTTGATAATTCGAAGTTAATTGAATCATCCATGTCACAATATGTTCACGTTCGTTAGGTTTACGTTACGATGTTCGTTGAAATAATAACTCATAGCATTCTTATTTCATTCGAACGATGGCTTGTACACGCGTAGTAGAGTTCGTTTCCTTTTTTTTTTTATGTATATGTATTATATTATGATTTTCTGTGAGAGAAAGACCGAGAGAGTATTCTTCGGCGACATGTGTTCTATTGTTCGTTGTTTCGATCGGGACTTTTCCTCTGTCCACAGATAAAATTGTGCGATAGACTTTTCAGGCATCCTATATACATATATTAAATATAATTATAGCTTCTATTATACGATAAAGAGTGCTGTTCTGCTGCTATAAGTATGTAAGAGAGACGAGGTACCTTTGTTACTACTGGTTGTTAAATATATCATAACATAATATTTATTTATATAACGAATTTTTTACTCGCTTCATATGTCCCAGTTTTTACGGTGAAGATCTTTATTAAACGCGTTTTCAATAGTTTTGGGAAATTTTGGTATTGTTCATTTCATAATATTTAATCTTGGAACAGTTTTCTTACTTCTGCGTTCTTGTATTTTTATTTATTTTTTTATGAAAATTAAATTCTACCTTGCGTTGTAGATACTTGGGACCTTTGGTTTTATAATTTTGAAATTTGAATCGATAATATCTTATTCGTAGCATCTTTAGTTGAATAAAAATTTATTTGATGGAAAAAAAACTCAACCGATCCTGCCAGGATTCGAACCTGGAATCTTCTGATCCGTAGTCAGACGCGTTATCCGTTGCGCCACAGGACCCAAGTTGCTAACAATGTCTATTATTTGTAGGATGAGGATCATTTATGAAAACATTTTTTTATGCGTATTCTTTCTTTAACTTTAATTATTAATTTCCAATTTAAGATAGATTAGGTAAAAAATCATAGGCTAAAGAAATTATTTGTAATGCTATATTATCTTTATTTTTAATACTTTAATGTTTTTAATACTTAAATAAACAATTCAGTATGTAATAAGAAATCAAAATTATAAAAAGATAGTAATAATAAAAGCATTAATAAATATTCAAATACGTATTTTATTCCTTAATCTCAAAATTAAATCGAAATACATTTTGTACGTTGTCAATATCGATACATTTTTCACTAGAGTTCGAAGAATGTGTCACAGCCTGTTTTTCCTTTGTAGATGCAGAAGCAGCCTTCCTTAGAAATACATATTTCCTATTCTCACTGGGCGGAGGCATAAACTTGATAGAAGATGCTGTTTTGCCAAACTTTTGCTCGTCCAAAGCCATTTTTTCTCTGTAATTCCCTAAAGTGTTACGCATTATTTGCCTCTTTCTTATCAGAGGTGCGGTATTACTTTTTAGAATATTTATATTTTTATTTAAGTCGTATGCCTGCCTCTCAGGAAGCTTTCCAGTGCCCAAACACATTTCTAACTGTTGAATACACCAGCATAATTCTACTTCAAATTGATCTTCAGCTTCCTGGCTCAAACCACTATTAGTTTCTACGCCAACACTAGCTGAATCTGTCAGTTTTGGTGGTTCTGCGTTTTTTTTATTTGCTGTCGGCTTCTTAGCATTCTGAAATTAGCGTTTGTTGTAAAGTTGTGATTATTGTTATTGTTAGTCGTGATTTAGTCTAGGTTAGAATTAATAAAACATATATTTTCTTTTGAAACGTATAGTAATGGAAAACGAAGATCAAATTAATATACCGTTCTAGGTTTTGGAGGCATCTTTTATTATTGAAAATGGAGTAGTTCAGTATTTTGTTTTAATTACTGAAGTATTTTTGATTATGTAGTCTCTGGTACAATTCCTGTGTTGACGTTGTTAGCCATTGTTCCTCTGTTTTAGTAAATTATCACTAGATGGTAAACCATTCGCATCATGGCGCGAAATTTAATTTTTATATAAAGAATATGTATTACTTTTAAAAACGGTAATTCAGTTATGAATTTCAATAAATTTCTTGCACATAGCGGTACCTGATATATAACAAAACATTCTTTTTTACTTGATTGAGAAGCAATTAGTTAAATAGAATGATACGTAAAACAAGATGTTTATAAGATTGAAACATAAATACTGTAGACTTTTATCATCGCTTTAAATAGATGCAAATGAGTATTCACTCGTTGTGAGATTTATATTACACAGTTTAAGAGATAGATTTAGAAAATTGCATCCAAATGACACCTAGGTCGATCACCTGTTAAAATATTCAGTTTGTTTTCTCTTTTTTAGAAATTTCATAATGGATTTCAAATAAATTATACATAGATAACTAATTTTTAACAAATCTAGAAATTAAGTTTAACATAACTAAATAATAGTTAAAGTTCAATAAAACCTAAAAAATCTTGCTATAATTAAAATTTATGTTAATATTTTGTGTCATTTCCATCGAGTTCTTAGGTATTTTGATTTTTAATATGAGAGTTAATTTAAGTTAAAAGAGACTAAAGGTGATATTCTTATGTAAACGAATTACGACTGTATCTTACTATTATCAAAATATTATTACTGAAAATACATTGACTTATACAAACGAAACAAACATGACACGTATATTGGACTAAGGTGCTAACTATTTTAGAGCTTATAATGATTAATATAGTAGTAATTATGCAATAAATAATATCACATTCTTAAGATTCAAACGGAACCGTTAAACGAGTCGCTTATTTCAATATGATGACGAAGTCTATGGCATCAACATTGACGGTATTCTGTTGCCATTCATCTTATTTACGCCTCTTCTATGTTCATTAACATATAAAGATATACAATGTGTCTCTAGGATAGGCTCGCTTAATTTAAATCTCCGCGCCAAATTTTAACAAATTTGATTTATCGATAGTAACGTGTTATTTGACGATCTAAGTAGACCTATTTATTTATTATGTATCATTGCAGGGTAAAATATAAATATCTATTATTAATATTGATAGTATTAATATCACTATATATATAATATATAGAATAATATAAATATCTATTGTTATAAATAAAAATGTGTAATAAAATTTATTAAAAGTTGTATTAAGAAAATTGTCGTTATAAGTATGTATGTCAATTTTAACTTATCAAAATCTCGATTTGAATATTACTAGAATTGTAAACAACAGTATTTATGATAAAAGATATTATGAAGTGATATTACCGGTAGAAATTTCTAGAAGTTATTTGTGATATTTTATTATTTCGTTCCGCAATGTGCAACTTTCAAAATTTTTTACATCTCTTATCCCGAGTTTGTACGATTTAGAAAAGAGAGACGAGGGTTTATTACATATATATATATATATATATATATACATATATCGACCTGTAATATCGACATGCTTTTCAACCATCGAGATATAAAGGTAGAGTACGCGAGCCATGTGTAATTGAATGCGATATAGGAATAGAAAGAGAACGCTGCATAAAGGCTTCCTCTGTCCTCGTCTTGTGTATTGTACGCTGACGCTGTTCGTTGATCGGTATTACACTTAAATACCTACTGTATGACCGTGCGTAGGTTATTAGACAAGGACTCTCGCAGTCACGCACTCCATCTTTAATCTCTATGTTTTCAAATATCCGCCATGAATCGTGGATATAGCAAATCTGACAAGCACTTTGCGATACGTATATTATTCAAAAACAATTTATGACCACGATCCAACAATTCGTTCTTGTTTATACTTCTTGGATTTATTAATCATTTGTAAGTACGCAACACGATATATTCTTGGTTTATACAACGGAATAAGTAAATGCACATGTTGTCGATTTATTAGAAGAGTGATACAAAAAGATTGGCACAATCATTAGGAAAACAGTTTGAAATAGAATATAATTAATCACTCTGTTATTTAGCAAGAAAACTTTGTTTTTTTACAATGTGATTAATAGTATTGTTTACTACTAGAAGAAGGATTAAAGTCTGATCTTAAACAGTGATGTTGTCCTTGTTAAATAGTATAATGTTATTGGATAATTATTCTATTCTAGTAAACGATATTTATTATTTTTAAATAGTTCGCTTTTAGAGTTAATTTCTTCAAATACTTTGGAAGTTGCGATTTTTTGGACGCGTTACTCTTTTATCAAATCAATCATGTTATATTTATCAAATAAAACTTACAACGTTACTCTCAACACATGTTCATGCATTTTTAGAAGACAAAATTAAGTTTATTATTTTCATCGGTAGATACTAAATCGTTTCGAAGAATCAGTGATACCATAAAAAGAGAAATGAAACAAAATAAAAAACTAGATACTTTCTAATGAGAAAAAAGTCGAAGGAAGAAGGAAAACGGAAATGATCGTAATTTGTAATGTCATAAGTAACGTTCATTGATTCTCCATAGATTAATTGTTTTTTATACGGTAACGAAAATCGTCTATTTTTAATTAAGCGAGATTTATCTCGGGTCGATATTGTAGAACGCCTAAAAGTTTCTATAGGTAAATTATCGACCAGCGGGAAATACGATGAAAATGTGATTTCTTGTAGAAATTCTAGTTAATAAGGATCAGTCTTTTTGAAGTTCGAAACATTTGGGCTAAGCTTCTCAATTATCGAAGCAAAAGTTATACTGTAAACCACGTGGAATTCGTGATTTCTTCTGAATCGATCGGATTAACGAGTTCGTCTCGTTACAATAACATCACCAACTTTTTGACGTTAAAAGTAACACAATGACACTGTACCTCGTTAGCTCGACGATTAGTTCGAGTTTTTTAATCATTTTCACGAACCTAGTTTTTCTTTTAAATAAAGGTGAGTCGTGTGTGTGTTTTTAGTTGGATAGTAGTGCGTCTAAAACGCAAGCAGATGTGGATGAGATAAACTAATGATTTTTAGAACTACAATGTACGAAGATACAAGTTTGCACAGATAAGCTAACCGAGATGCTTTATAAACTTTTTAAAACGAACGGTTTTTGTCAAATTTTATACGAATTTCAATTTTTATACAGTACAGTTATATAGTACGGTTTTTTATTCTTTTTAATACTCGATAAGGAAAACTATTTGTTGGCTTTGCAACATAGAATTGTACAGTATTTTTAAAGCATTCTTCTTTTACGATTTACAAACTCAAATACTTGAAGCGCGAACAAAAGAAGTGAAATTTTATCATTTGTAAATTAAGTTAGATGCAATTCGAAGTTAGTTAGATTTTATCGCTCAGATCTGACGTAGATTAGGACGAAGTTAAATTTACCTCGACCTAGGTCATATCACCGTATAGATGATCAGATACCAGATCAGATTGATTTTAATTCCTGAATGTGAAAATTAAGATCTGAAGCCTGCTTTATTTACACCAGGCCAGAAGGTTAGGTTCCAATTACTTGACTATTTATGAAACAAACCAGGAGATACAAAAGAGGCCAACCCCGACGTAATGCTCATGGCAGTTACGGGGTTGGACCTCGTGTAGCTATCCGATATCAGAAAGAGGAGAGGTTTTTAGTGGGTAGAGGCGTTATCATTTTGCCGAGTTCCACGTAATCCAGCGGCCGCACGAGTTGCTGGGTATTCGTAAGTGCATTTTCCCCTCCTCGCGTAGAAAAAAAGAAAAAAGAAAAAAGAAAAAAAGATAGAAAGCTCCTATTACTTGCATTTACACAGTCTCATTTTCCCTTGCAGCATCAGCTTAGCGAGCTAAAATATTTTTGTAGCTTATCGTCGTACGCTCTCGTCATCCCATAAAATTCATTCGTACGTCTAACCTGCGATCACTCGCTCAAAGTTCAATCTCGCAATTCTCAGTTACTTTGTAATAATCGTAACGATAATTAAGCGAGGATAGTTAATCTATTTGAAGCACCGTCACCATCGCGAACTCGCCACGAACCACAGACTAATTTCGATCCAAGTTCCACTTTCATCATTCGTAATTTCAACGTTTCTACCTAAACCGATATCGCACCCTGGAAAACTCAAACGGTGTTTTGTTCGTTCGTTTCATTCCACAAAGTCATCGAGATCTCCTCTCGTCTAAGCTCTGACCTTCTCAGAGGACTATTTTCCGGGACGGTGCACGTGCTTCTTCCGGCGAGTTTCAAGGACTTTAAGCCGGGGAACCACTTTAACAAACGCCACCATTTCTTCTCAGATTGGCTCGCGTTCGAAAGCTTCACGGTGGCATATCTGGCTGGCCTCGATTTTCTCGAACACTTGCAACAACCGACGTCCTTGTTTTTAATCTCATTCGAGTCTTCCAGTCTGCCGATGTCCTCGTTGTCCTTCTTATCCACGTTGTTCCGCGTCGACTCCGCGTTAAGATGCTCAGCCAATGGCTGAGCGTTCTGCTTTAGGCTGTGGTGGCCAGAATTGCCGGAACAGTCGGTGCTGTCGTGGATGATTCCGGTGCCGCCTGTTCCCATGTTTCTAGAGCCGATCGCTCGCTGCTGCGATCGTGGCAGACTCGAGTACGATCGTTGCTCCGTGCGAATCGCCAGGCCGGGGATTCTGCAACTCCTTGACAATGTTTCCTGTGAAAACAAGAATGACGCTTGGTAGTCGAGCAGCTTGCGACGGTCGCACAGTGTGGCATTTGAACGAGGACTCGGCACAAGAATAGAAGTCCACGTTCGAGAACCAGGTTCGCAGATCGCGTTCTTACATTCGTCAGGGCGAAGTATCGAGGAGAAAGGTGGTTCTATTGGCGAAATTTGTTCCAGTGGATTTTCTGTCAGCAGGACATCGAGCGGGTCTCGGTGTCGATAGGAATATACTGCCGGTCGTAAGTACCAGGGCACGTAACTTGTATTTTTACATTTTCAAATCTCCCACAAATGCGCAAACATTCGCAGTTCCATCGTAAGAAACAAACGATACGAAGGAGGCGATAGAAACCGTGGGAAGCGTGTAATTTATACGAAATATCAATAGGTGTCCTGTTAATTATGGCCGACAGTGGTAGATTAGGTGGAGTTGGTTGTATTAATTTGATTCGCGTAAGTCGATTGATTAACGAGAGTGATAGGGCGATTAAAGGATATTGTGTGCTACGAATGATGGTAATATAGGAATAATGGGATTGTGTGGGAGTTGGAATGTGTTTCTGATTGCTGGAATTGGAGAATATCGTGAAAGTTGGTGCGCGGGTGGTTAGACGCGTTTTATGTGACATAATTGGAGAAAGTTGCAGTTTACGTTATCGAGTTCCGTACTTCTTAATTAATACCGTGGCTCTGAAAGGGAATTCGTTCGTTTAAACTCTACGATTCGGAAAGATCGAAAGAAGCTGAATTATTTACAAACTACGAACTAACCCCTATCGAATACAACCTGGTTTCTTAATCAACCCAGACCGACTAATCCAACAAAGTTTCATCGGATAAAGGAGGATAATTGGATATCAATCAAGTGGACCATTCTACTAGATTAATCCAAACCCAATTTCTAATTACGCGGTACATGCTGTTACACCTAAAGAAGGGTACTGTGACTCACCATGAACGCAACTCGAAATTTGTTCGACATGATATTATATAAAATCGGGTTAATCGACGTGGACACGTAATAGAGTACGCCAGATATGTAGGTCATCAGGGTATAAAGGAACTCGTCCAACTTGCTGTTCGAGCTCATGTGGTCCTCCGAGTTCGTCCCGTGTGTGGCGACCAGTCGCTGTATGTGAAACGGCGCCCAACAAATAAAAAAGGCTATCACCACGGCAACTGTAACACAATTCCACATTTTATTTATTAGATTTCTTTAAATATACTGCGTACGTTCGTAACAGGAGAAAAGAATGTCAAAAGTCGAAGATACAAAACGTTCTTATTCTACAGGAAATATTAGGTTCTAAATTGATCGTTCTAACTGGTATCAAGAAAGACCGTTACGGAAGCTATGCGAGATTTATCTGTTATCGGTTTGTTTCTCGTAGGCTATCGTTTTCTCATGGCTCGTCTTTTTATAATCGAAAAGTAAGATTATCCCAATAACCGAGAAGCGAGTTTCGTCTATCTTGCTATCTCGAAACTAGATTTTCCAGTGAAATTAAAAATTAGGTTCCGAACGAGAGGTAGCACGTCCTCTACTACAGGCGCGACCACGCGAGTATCCTCCGTTATTCAAACGCCTGTGACAGCGGGTTCGTACAGCTCGCAATGTCCTCGGTGCTGCATCGTTCAGGGGCTCCGTGACTCAAACTCGCGATTATCGAATCTATAATTTCGACTTGTCTCTGTTTGCTCAATGCCAGAAAGAAACGAAATTGAGAACTTATTAATATCAACCAGCTTATATTCGGTAATAAAGAACGTAAGATCGATACAATTACTGGCAATCTTATATGCTACGAGATATAGCGATATACCAATACAATGGTAACTGTAACAATAGGAAGTGGTAACGCAATGGAAATGGTAACGCGCGACATTCGTAACAAGAAAATAAAGGCGCGAGGCCAGTGGTACAGGCCTTTTTATACACTGGCCTTCGCCACAGAGAAGAGGGTAGCCCACGTGCAGACACAATTTCGCCTTTGATGACTGTTGGTATCAGGGGTGGTATCGGGGCTGGCATTCGCATCCCTCGGGCGTCAAATACGGAGCAACGATGGATAGAAAAATTCGGAGTATTTATATGGTTAGAACAGCAAGAGGTTGGTAGACGAACGTCGTAAATTTCACGTCTGTTTCGTACCTCGCCGATGATTACATCACCGATAAGTCGTTTGCGATAATTCCTGTGTTCGCCGGAACAGATCGCAGAGGGTGTAAGATTTGCGATTTTTTTAGGCAGATCGATATTATCGTAATCCGAGAAACAAAGTTCTAGTTAATTTCACGTTGATCCGGTCCTTAGCCAATGACAGAATCAAAACTTTTCGACTGTAGGATTACGCGAACGAATTTATAAGTTCTAATTATCCTCGCGTTGGGAGTACTCTATTTTTTAGAGCGAAACTCGAGTGTCGTTTGCAAGGGAAAACACCGTAAAAGTTAGGTAGGATTAATGGTGGCTGAGGAGATTGATGAAGTTAATCTTTTAGGTGAGTTGATCTACGTAATTATTAATTAAAAACCAGAACAACTGCCATTGCAGCTAATTTTAAAATTTATATAACATTTATATAATTGAAAGTTTCCTTATATATATAATAATCCTTCGTCGGAGAAGAGGAAATCTACGATAGCGTAACAAATTTTTCTTCCGTTGTTGTTCAACCAAACGATCTATTTCTTCTTTCTTTTTTGCGATAAATTGTAATAGGAAACTAATAATTTTACTTTCTAAATAAAATTATATCTCGCAATTGGATCCTTATTGTTATCGTAAATTCTCTAATTACGTACGTAGCTATCGCGTAATTTGTGTAATTTTGTAGTTTGTTTCGCGTTAAACGGATGTATCCAGCAAGATCAAAATGGATTTTGGTGAAACAAAATGGAACAACTACTTTATAGAACGTGGCTCTTTCTCCTTTTAAGAAAATTGATGCAGGATCTCCTAAAATTCAAATCCCAGGATATCGTCCGGCAATATCAGAAATTTTTCATCTCGTTCATCCAGGAGGAGAAAACTTTTCGTCGGAGCAAGTATCACCCAGTTTCCCTCCGTTTCGTTTAAACTGCTTCCTTCCACGGGTGCGATTCGAGTCTTGGTGTGAAAATCCCGGTCATTTTCTCAATTTCAATGGAAACCAGTTTACATAACTCACATAAATTTGCGACGATTTATCATCGACGCAATTTTCTCCTACTTTACGTTCAATCTGTTGCTTTTCGCCTCGGAAGGAGGGGAAAAATGGGGAACAAAATTGGAGAAGAAGATAATCGAAATGTGTCGCGACGTTTTGGTCCAAGCGCGTTATTCTCGACGAGTTCATGCGATTACGAGGCGATATTGCGCGGGCCGCTTTTCAAAGAATATGTAAAGACTGGAATTGATATGCGACTGAGGTCAAGATCAGTCAAGTTATGGCATTTCATAGCATCGTGCCGCTTACGCTCCCTTTGAATAATTCATCCACAAAACTGGATGTACGTTCTGCTCGTTGATTTTGCTTTCTTTCCAGAAGTAAGCTTCCCCGCCCTTTCTTTCTCCTCCAGTCGCACATTTTTTCCATTATTTCATTATTTTGAAGTTTTGTCCCTTCGTTCTTATAGCTCTAAGTTTATTATTCTCCCTATACGCGTCTGCTATGTATTTCTATTCAGTATTTTATTCATATTCCTTTTACCGAATGTTATTGTAATGTAGGTGTAAAGGTGAACGACTAAGATCAAGCGAAGAGTTAGAGATCAGAAATATCGGTGGAGCGTGTTCGAACTGCCATATTATTCCGAACATCGCTACCGGTAAACGTTGGAAATAGCAGATTTTCTGATTAAGTACTCCTGCATTCGGCTCTATCGTTCTATCGATCCGATTCCATGAGATTTTCAACCAGATTCTGCTTAAAAAAACATCTTCTATAATATAACGTCCATGAAAATGTATAATCTCTTCGTTACTAAAGTTTGTATATACAGTAGAAGAGAGAAGTATAAATCGAACAGCTTTAAGCTGTATGAAACGAACGCATGGAACAATTTTGAAAATTCCTAGCAAAAGTCGAGATAAATTATCCCGAAACTTTGACATACGTGGTAGAATTGTTGCTCCGAACTTTGAGATGCGTGCCGATATGTAATCTAGTTCTAACTTTTTGCTCATATTCAACGTCTAAACGTACTTGAAGTTATAGATATTATTGTTTCACGATCTCTTAATTACATCGTATTTATTTCAAAGCAAATTCTGTTAAAAAAAATGTCTTCTCCGATAGTATTTTTCTTTTAAAAAATTTCGATTATCAGAGACACGATCGAAGAAAGAATAAATGCAACGTATTGACAGAGAGAAAACGTAAAAGTATCAAATTTTATTATTCGTTATATGTTCTATTATTATGTATCGTATAATATCGTTATACCGTCGTTATTAAGAGTTCCCTAACAGCTTACCGCGGAAGTTCGAAGAGGACACGTTTCACGCATATTCGCAGGATCCCAATACCATTTAGTCGAGGAAGAAGTTTTCCTAAGGTAACGCGCCACAATATCGAAACGAAAGTCAAACACTATCGGCGAAGTTGGATGTGGCGCTCGTCGTAGCTCGTAGCTCAAAGAGCAACGGGATGGATATCCTGTTTGTGAAACGTGAGACGTGACCCGTGTAAATTCTGCCCCTAAATCGGTCCACGCCACGCTTAAAAATTCACCGAGGATGATTCCTCCTGAGACGTTGAGATAAACCGTGTTTTCAGGCTTCTTCCTGTTTCGGGCACACATTTCGTTTGTGATACTTTACGTGCGTTTTTTTCACGAAGATTCGCCTTAAAAGGCTCGGAACAGGTTCAATAGGTTTGCAAGCGAAGTCGGACGAACAATAACGAAACACGTACGAGTCAAATATTATCTGACGTCGATATCTCGACATTTCTAAAAAATACGATTGTGCTGGATTGTAGCGACGGCTGTACAAGTCGATGCAATTTTACTTTTTATTTAACTATTTGAAAATTAATCTTCCATTAATTATTTTCACGATCGTTAGTCAGAAATCGGAATTGCCACTGCAATAAAGTATTCTCGTGTAATTTACGATATTACTATAAATATATAATACAGTGTTGCTTAAATTAATCGCGGTATAATTTGAAAAAAATCTTTCTTTTTGAGGAATACGTACAGATATTTAGAGACAGGGGGTAAATAAATAAATTTTGTTGAAACGTTGCCCCATAATTTGTTTTACTTCTGCAGATATCGATATGTATTTCACGGGATACCTGTTAACTACCTGAAAGCAATTTTGTTACCGACGATATATAACGTTTACTTGTGCTACTGTAATTAAACCGTATCCTACTGTCAAAAATAAGGAAGTCTTTGGATATTTTGCGCAACAGTGCGTACCATCAAAGATACAACATATTAAATTCACCCCCTCCGATCGGATCGATAAAACGAGCTTATTAGTCGGCGAAGCTGGCTAATCGAGGATTACTTGTTTTTCTTTTACCAGCCTCTTTTTGCCTCTATTAATTGAACGAAGTTTTTGCGTGATTAAGATAAGAAATTCATGCGTACGCATTTGCGCCTTGTTTATATACGTCTGATAAACGACCATTAACTAACGGAAATGATGACATATGAAAGAAAGAAAAGTAATGAGAGTAAAACGGTCGGGGAACTTCTGCTGCATTGTAATCGATAGGTGGAATAATTAACGTCGAATCGGATGTATCGAGTTCCGTAGAGCAAGCGACTACAAGGAAACAGGAATCGGGAAAAATCGAGGTCGTCGTCATCGATCATCGTAATCGACGAAACGGGACGACACAAGAAAACGAGTAGTAATACAAACTACTTTTCCGACAAAACGGAAGCTGAAGGAAATCAATTACTCTCGAACGACGATATATTTTCCTCCTTTGAGAAGAAGCCGGGAAAGATATAAAGAGAAACGAAATAAAAGATAAACTCGTCATATATGCGCGTAAGCCACGTAGAAGCTAAATTGATTCGCTTCTTCGAGATTAATCATTTATATTCGAGAAATTACGCATCGATCGTGTATTCAAGCGAAGCGAGGTACGTACGGAACCACAATTTCATTCTAGAACCTTGCTCGTTGCAGAATCAGTTCGTCTTAGCGTAAATTGAATTACGTCCACATACGT